CAAGTCGCTCTTTTCTTCGTTGTTCGTTCCCATTATAGAGTTTGTATTTATATTCCTTGTCGCCCATCATGGCATCCACAAAGCAATCACAGAGGTTGCTTGCACAATTCGCCAGCTCTCGAACTAGAATCGCCATCATCACCAAGCAGCCACAGCTTCAATTCGGTCGCAGACTCGTCTCCTCCTCTTCAAAGTCCCATTTCAAGGGTCAACAATCCGGTGCCGCTTATAGCCGCTTCCTCATTGGCGCAATTGGTCTCGCTGCTGCAGCTCCCATCGCCTACAAGATGGTACTGCAACATATACCCTTCACCACCACGAACCCAAATACCTCCCCCAATGCCGGAGCTTCCGCCTTTCCCATTGATGCATCAAAGCTCCCCCGTCGCTAACATCACTCTCCGATCTAGGCCGTCCAAGAACCCTTCCAACTCGATCCGCCGACCCTGGCCGAGCGCGATGCCCTGACCAAGCGGGAGTCCGAAGTTACCGTCGACTCGCCCATGCGTCTGCGCATGGAAAAGTTCATCAAGGAACAGCAACAGATCATCGTCAAGGAGCTCGAAAAGGTCGACGGCACCAAGTTCCGCAAGGACGAATGGAACCGGAAAGAGGGCGGCGGCGGCATCACCTGCGTGCTCCAGGACGGCAACGTCTTTGAGAAGGGCGGCGTCGGCGTGTCCGTCGTCTACGGCACCCTCCCCAAGCCCGCCATCGCCAAGATGCGCGTGAACCACAAGAACCTCGACGACAACGTCGACTCCCTCCCCTTCTTCGCCGCCGGCCTCAGCATGGTCCTGCACCCCAAGAACCCCATGGCCCCGACGGTCCACCTCAACTACCGCTACTTTGAGACGTCGAACCCCGACGGCACCTCCCAGGCTTGGTGGTTCGGCGGCGGCAGCGACCTGACCCCGTCCTACCTCTTTGACGAGGACGCTGTGCACTTCCACAAGACGCTCAAGGAGACGTGCGACTCGCACGACAAGAGCTACTACCCGCGCTTCAAGAAGTGGTGCGACGAGTACTTTTACAACAAGCACCGTGGCGAGTGCCGCGGCGTCGGCGGCATCTTCTTTGACGACCTCGACGAGACCGAAAAGGATCGCGAGAACACTTTTGCCTTCATCCAGGACTGCCTCAAATCCTTCCTGCCCGGCTACCTCCCCATCCTCGAGAAGAGAAAGGACATGCCCTTCAACGAGGCCGAGAAGGACTGGCAGCAGATTCGCAGAGGCAAGTACGTCGAGTTCAACCTTGTCCACGACCGCGGCACCGCCTTTGGCCTCAACACCCCCGGCTCCAGAGTCGAGAGTATCCTCATGAGTCTGCCCCTGACGGCCAGCTGGAAGTACATGCATGAGCCCGAGCCCAAGAGCCGCGAGCAACGCCTCGTGGATGTCCTCAGAGCGCCCAAGGAGTGGGTTTAGAGGAAGGGCTGAAGAAATAAGGGGAAGGGGGAGAAGAGGGAACCTGGTTACGGAGCACCGGATGCAAGCGATATTTGCTGTAAGATTATGCCAAATTTTGCGGCGGACATAATGTGATTATTAGACAAAAGCTGTGAGGCGGCAAAACTCAAAAGAGACATTTTCTTCTGTTCATCACCTTGCGTCCTGATTGCTTCGGAGTTTTGGTATTCCAGCTTCGGTCAAATATTCGACTGATAAGAACCTCATTTGTGGCGAAGCTGGGGAATGCAGACTTCCATCTCATATAGGGCGTACAATCCGGAGCCAAATTCGGTGACTATGAGTTCTGGCTGATGAGCCTCACACCTGTGAACCAGGCAGCACATTACAAACCTCGCTCAGTGAACCGCAATTTCTATCTCTCAATACCGTCATCGTTCAACAACAAACCAAACGATACTCGCAACCCAGAAGCAGGGCGAGAAGGGCTGGGCCATGTCTTCTTTCTCACCGGTATCAACGCAGTCAGACACCCTGCCGACACCCCGCATCCTCATCACTGACCTCATCAACTCTCTCACCTCGGCCCCTCTACCACCGCCAGGAAACACCGCCGGCAACGACGCAGCCGACGCAGCAAACCCCCTCAAAACCCTCCCGCAATCCCACCGTCCGCTCCTGGTAACCCTCCACGTCCTCTTTCCCTCCCTCCTTCTCCCGGCCCTGGACCTCCTAGACCGGAACCTCGTCACCCGCGTGGTTCCGGAGGCCACCACCCCTCCCTCCGCCGGCCTCGGCCGCGGCCACGACCACCGAGAAGGAAACAACCCCGCCAACCCCGCACCCGCCGCCCGCCAACGTCAACCCAGTATCAATCCCAACGACGCCGCGTCCGAAGCGGCCGCCGATGGACAGGGGTCACCACCACCACCACCCCGCCTCCAACCAGCGACAAACCAAGCTCCATCAGCCGCCGCCGCATTCCACCTCGTCCGCTCCGTAGCCTCAACAATGACCCGCAGACACCACGCCGTCGCGACATCAGCCTCCGCGTCGACGACGTACCTCGTCCACCTCGACGCCTGGAACTGCTCCTGCGCCAACTTTGCGTACGAAGCGTTTCCGGCAGTCGTCAGCGCCAGCAGCGGCGGCAGCGGCGGCGGGGGCCACGACGTACGTTCGGACCTGGTCATCATGGGCGCAGATGAAGTCGAGAACGACGGGGAGGCCGACAACCGCGAGGCGAGTGACTGGCAGTTTGGAGGCCTGAGCCTGGACGGCGTGGATGATGGTGGTGTGCCTTGCTGCAAACACCTGCTCGCTTGTCTTCTCTCCGAGCAGTGGGCGGATACTTTGGGGAAATATGTCACTGAGAGGAGAGTGAGCAGGGAGGAGATGGCGGGGTTAGTTGCGGATTTGTAGTCACTGGACAGTGTAGCACTTGGATGAAGAGTAACACGGGGGGAGTCTCAGGGCATCAGTCAAAACATGCTATCATTGTACAAGGCATATTCTTTTCTTGTGAATTTGCCTGTTCCCTCCCCGGCCTTGCCCCCCAGGACGCCGAGATATTATGACATGCCCACGCCCCAGTGTCTATCGCGGGTATCAGTTCCCGTGTTTTGAATGCGTGTGGTTTCTCCGTCCACTGCGTCGTCGCGCAGTCCTCTATTTCTTCTCCTTCTTCGCCTCCTTCTCCTTGTCAGAGGCCTCCTTGTTCTCGCCGTTTACACCGTTCGCCTTATCGTCCTTCTTTCCGTCCTTGCCGTTCGCCTCCTCCTCCTTCTTGGCCTCCTTCTCCTCTGCCTGCTGTCGGTTCTGAATCTTGTTCTCGATAAGGTCGTGGAAGGCAGTGATGGCGCGGATCAAACTGCTAAGGTAGATGGCCATGAGCTGGTCGTTGGTCTTGATGCTCATGGCGTGAGAGAGCTCGCCGCCGCTGGACTTGCCATCGGCCTTTGGCGTGGACAGGTTGGGAAGGAGGTTGAAGACATCCTGCAGGTTGCCCAGGATGGCATGGTTCACGGGCAGCTGGCCGTCGAGAACCTTCTGGAGGTAGGCACCGATATCGCGGAGACGAAGATGCAGCCCTTGGAGTGACTGAAGCTGGTTTGTTATTCTCGTCGAGAGGGTTCCAACAGCGACATCGCGGATGTCACGAAGGAGGTGCTCGACACCAATCTCCTCTGCTTCCTCGGCCTCGATGATCGACGGGGTGTGGACGAAGGTTCTTGACGTGGTGGTACCATCCTACAATCAGATTTGTTAGCAGTGGCTTCGTACGGCATAACCTAATGCCACTCACATCCTTGATCTCTTCGACGGCGAAGTATGCGTCCGTCGGCACACCCGCCTCCTTTGGCTGGACGTCAATGATGACTAGTAGCGGGTTGGGGGTGTAGCGCTTGAACAGCTCGTTGATCTCGAGATCGGACGCCCGCAGCTTGGGGCCGGAGTGGTACCAGCCGATCAGCTTTTCTCTCGCGTTGACCTTCTTGAACATATCATTCATTCCCTCGACGTAGTTGTGGTCCAGGAACCACACTGAGGGGTCCTTATCATCTTCCTCGAACGGCACTGCGAGCATGTATTAGTACCGCGGGGATGATCTAGATGGATAGCTTCCGCTCAAGTAGTCCTTACCTGCGAAACTGTTGGATACGCGGACATTGTTTCCGTCATTTGAACCCAGCAGAACACCCACCACTCTCCGTTTCGATCCCTTGGCTACCGCGCGATTGTAGTGGTCGACGACGGAAAGAAGCACGAGAGGGGCAACGGAGACATTCCGCTGAACGAGAGACAGAGTCTCTGCGGTGGTGGCAGGCATGATAGAGGGATTTCGTAGCTTCGCTAGGTCGATTGGTTCGGGTTCGGGGGAAGATAGAGGGTTGCTGAATCGGTGGTGGTTTCGGGCTGTGGTGGGTGTAGTAGAGGCAGGGTATGTGATGGTGGTGGTGGTGTCGTAACTGCTAAGGCTGCCTTCCCGCCTAGCTAAGCTACGAATCGGGCCTAGGTGCAAGCAATTGGAAGCTCGAGCCTCGCCAGGTCACGTGTGCAAGCTCTTTCTGAGTCAGCAAGTCTCTCGCCACGATTATTGAGCCGCAAGCAGCGATCAGCCACAGCTCGGGCCGTGCGACAGCGCAGGGAATGGAAGCGCACGTCCGATATCTGTTCATTGGACAAGATCTCTGAAAAAGGCCCCAGACGGTCGAGTCCGCAATCGGCCTGCGAGATTCTCTTCATTCCGTGCTCAGTAACACAGTAACTCGCTGACTGAGGAATTCGATGACGGACTTATTTCCGTCAGGAATAGCCAACCTCAAGGTGACAAGTAACAGATGGACACGAAGTCAAGTGCGGCGTTCGGAGAATTGCGGGTGACTGGGATGACCCCAAGAGACTCACATGCCGCATCAAAAGGCACCAAATGCACCAAAAAACCACTTGGAAAACAAAAAATCTTGACCCAGTGACCTCATACATGGCGTCCCATCCGGTGCGCCGGGGGATCATTCTCGAGAGCTTCTGATGCCGTGCCTTATCCGCAAGCTACCTAGCCGGGCCGTAAACACTGAGCAGGCCCCAATGGCTCGCGGTACTATCCCCCGATGTAGACAGTACGTATCCGCGCTGGACCTCGGCGGAGAGACAACGGCGAGGACGAGCCAATGGCAGCCGGAGCGCTGTAACGGAAGCGCACGCAGTGGCACCAAGGCGGAAATATGGAGGGCGCTGTTACGCTGCGAAACAGCCGAACGAACGCCTGCCACCCTGTTCCCCAGCAGAAAGTCCAGCGGTCCCTCGGAGGACCACTCTGGCCAATGACCAGCCTCCATTCCTGCACTGGGGCCGCTCAGTGGCCTGTCACCTGCACTCAACGGGGCCGTGGAAAGCGCAAAGCTCGGTACGATGTAGGCGGTACCTGGCACAAACTGGAGGCGGAACCTGGACGACTTGGCCTGTCAGGACCTTGCAGCGATTTCTCAACCTCTCTCGCAATCATTTTTCCCGCAAAAGCTTTAGTTCGCACTGCTCCCCCCAGTCCAACTTTCGACCTCGACTCCATCATCCTCTCCTCTCCTCTCTTCCTCCTTTCCCCCTCGTAGCCACACTCGTGCATCTCTTTGCTCCTCCTCCCTCCTATCGTTAGCCTCGGTCCGGCCATATCAATACCTTCACCAACCGTCAAAATGAGCAGTCTCGTTGAGGAAGCAGTCAAGAAGCTGACCAACACGGTCGAGAGCCTCGAGTCCAGAATCAAGTCTCTGGAGGACCGCGCAGCTGGCGGCTCCGGCAAGCTCTCCACCGAGGAGGTTCGCATGATCCTCATCGGCCCCCCCGGTGCCGGTATGTAGCTCCAATTGAGCATTTTTACACGTGCTATTTGTGTCGCGACAGTCGTACTGATGATGGTATTCCGCACAGGCAAGGGCACTCAAGCCCCCAAGATCAAGGAGAAGTTCAACTGCTGCCACTTGGTAAGTCAATTGACATTGTCTTGACGTGCTGCTACGCTCTAGATCATTTCTAACCGTCCATCACACTCGCAGGCCACTGGCGACATGCTGCGATCCCAGGTCGCCAAGAAGACTCCGCTCGGCCGGGAGGCTAAGAAGATCATGGACCAGGGCGGTCTGGTCAGTGACGACATCGTCATTGGCATGATCAAGGAGGAGCTCGACAACAACAAGGAGTGCAAGGGAGGGTATGGCACATCTTTGCCCTGCCAGAGAACCGGCCTGACGGTTAACTGGCCACTACTGAGGAAGCGTTGCTAACTGGAACGACGTAGCTTCATCCTTGACGGTTTCCCTCGTACCGTCCCCCAGGCCGAGGGTCTCGATACCATGCTCAAGGCTCGCAACCAGACGCTTCAGCACGCCGTTGAGCTCCAGATCGACGACTCACTGCTCGTCGCTCGTATCACTGGCCGCCTCGTCCACCCCGCCAGCGGTCGCAGCTACCACAGCACCTTCAACCCTCCCAAGGAGTACATGAAGGACGACATCACCGGCGAGCCCCTCATCCAGCGCAGCGACGACAACGCCGAGGCCCTGAAGAAGCGTCTTGCCACCTACCACGCCCAGACCGCCCCCGTCGTCAACTACTACAAGCAGAATGGTATCTGGAAGGGTCTCGACGCGTCGCAGCAGCCCGGCCAGGTATGGAAGAACATGCTTGAGGTCTTGGACGAGCAGCGCAAGGGTGGCCACGCCTCCGGCATTCTGAGCCGCATTGCCGGAAAGAACTAAGCGGGCACAGGCTTCCCAGCCTTTGCTCCCGCCAGCGCGCCGCCCCGTCCACAGCCCCCCGGCCGCTGCGCACCACAAGCCGATCAGGTGGAAACGGAGAAAAAGGTCTTCATTTACAGCGTCTCTTACTTTGGCTCTCTATCTTCTGGATCAACGATATGACCAGAAGAAAGGAGGGCGTGGATCGGAGGAACTTTTTTATGGGACTCTTTTATGGATCATGAAATGGACTGGAAAGGACTCGTCCTCGTCCACCCCCCGAAGCTGTTGAGATCAACAGGACTGGGCTGGTTTATGTCTTTTTTTTGCGTCAACGTGGCCAGGATCAGTTGTACCGTGTAGAAAACCCCTTCCGTCGCACGCTTGTATGTAAAACAACAACTTTATTGTCTCACTAATAACCAAAACCGGCGGTTTGCAGTTGGATGGCCTCGCAAATTTTCCTTCCATGGTCCTAATTGCCCTGTGCTCGAACTGTTGGATATCTAAATGCCGTGATGTCATTCCTTCCGTTTTCCTGAATCGCGACGCAGACACCCTGGAGACGCGTACTTGGGGAAAAGGGGAACACGCTGGCCGGATTCGGGCTTCGTCGGTGCTTCTCGAAGAAGCGAAATGAGTGGGGCCGCGGGGCCCCCCCGACGCCGACCCGGACCACAGCGAACCCCAAAGGTCTCATACCCAAGGTACTACGTCCGATTGCTCTGTCAGCGACATCCGATGAACCCGACTGAGCGGCCAGTATATCGGCAAGCCGGAACAGCGAAATACCGATGGCGGTATGATCTTTGATCTGAGCTTCTCAAGTCCTGGGAAAGGGGGTCCCGCAGTTGCTCATGTTCAATGCCGACTCACTTACTCACTTGGCTTCGCAGATCCGGAATCTTCGTGTGGTGAATGCCCCGCTATCGAGCCGGTTCACGAAACGGCCCGCAGAACGGAGCCTTCAATGACGTTGAGCGCGAGATGACATGTCACTTTGTTAAGTGACACAGACATGTACATGTGTTAATGAAGATTCGATTCTATTCTCAAGTCACCAGAAAGAGTACCTGCGTTGCCACGAAAACGGGAAGCCGACGGGCTTGTAAACCTCCCGCAAGCTGGAAGAAAAAAGCTATACATGAAAGTGGAAGAGTATGATGAGGCTGCAGGAAGAAAAAGGACTTGATAAAAGTGTAGATGGGGAAGATGAAGAAGAGAGGAGACAGTATACCACCCAGCCACCGGCGCAGTGCAATGCAATGGTACCCGAGATGCAGGCCAGCCAATCCATCCCCTTTAATTCGCTAAGACACGGAAGGAGGAAGTAGAAAAAGAAGACAGTGGAAAACCAACGCCGAGATATTCTCCTACTCCAGCGCAAGATGAGGTAAGGTTGAGGTAAGGGTAGGTTGCTAGTTCTCGCCAAGGGCTGTAATGTGAACCTGGATATGTTAAGTGAAGAGGAGCCAAGTCATCATACGATGCGCGGACGATGCAAGGCTATGGATTCGGAAGATTGCCTCATCTCCTAGGAGTGGCTATGGGTGTAGACAGTCAGTCTTCAAACACTCGTGTCCCGGCCTCATAAAGACATCAAACTAACCATTGACCATCTGCCTTTGTTTGCCCAGCCAGCTCTTGGGGGCTTCATTCCGCCTTTGCAAGACGACGTGGTTGCTCTGAATACGGCTAGTAAGATCGTACCACGCCGTCGCAATAAGAGCGTTCTCGCGCTGGAGGTTCTTGATGATTTGATCGCTCGCAGCCTGTTGACGCCGTCTTTGTCAGCCGACCCGGTTCTCCTTTGTCATCATGATCAAGGCGAGACCATGATGTCCAAGCCCAATATAGTGCAATTGAGACCGTTGTAGCATGATAGTAACGTACCTTCTGAGCCGCGGCAGCTTCTCCGCCTTCGGCTGCCTTGAGCTTCCGCTGCAAGTCGTATTTATCCTGCTCGGATTTCTCCAATTGCTGAAAAACAAAAAACCGTCAGCCATGAACCCCTCATCTCATGATTCCCAATACAAAGGGCCATCAAATGGACAACTTTGACCGCCTGAAGACCTTCCTCCACCAGCTTACTCTCGGTCTAAGACTCAAAGGAGATTTTGGTGCTTGGGAAGGCAGGTCAAGATGGGGGTGACATGTAGGGACTAAGATCCGCGCATTCGGGCGGCTATCGTACAACACAGCTCCGGACGGGGTACCGGGAGTTTGGGGCACACCGCCTTCGGCATTTCGATGTTGTAGGGCTAGGGCGTTTGCAAGAGATCTGAGGGAACTCACCGATTGGCGCTCTTTGAGCCTGACACGCAGTTTGTCAACCTTCTCCTGGAGCTTCTGGGCGGCCTCCGTCGGCTCCGCACTCGAGCCATCCTTCGCCTCGTCAAGGTCTTTCCGAAGCTTGTCTTTCTCAAGTAGGGCGTTGATAAGTGAGCTCCGCTGTTCTTCGAGGTCAGTGCCGAAATTTTTCAGCTGTTGCCGCGCTGCCTCGAGTTCTTCGCGGATTGAACCGGAAATAAGTTGGTCAGTAGACTTGAGTTCCTCGAGGGCATCAACGCTATCCTTTGCGACGGCTGAGAGATCGGTCCTTGCGCTGAGGAGTTCGCGATCCTTGTCAGAGAGCTGAGCTTGGATCTCGCTGTTCTTCCTCCTCTCACTCTCAAGTTCATGGGCCTTTTGAGCAAGTTGGATTCTCAGGTTGGCTAGCACCTCGCTGTGGTGGAATTCTTGAGTTAGCACTTTGCCCACGCCTAGTCGCATAGCTGTGTCAACGATTTCAACTAACTTTTCGCCACTGCTCTCGATCAGAGCGCTGATTTGGGCCTCCGCAATCTGGTGCTTCTCGAAGGTGTCGTTGTAAGTTCCCTGGATACGTTCACGTTGCCTGCGCTCCTCCTCGAGCTCCTGACGCAATCGAGTGTTTTCTGGTCCAGATCCCATACCGTTCCGCAGCAAGTTGTTCTCTGCCTTGAGACGAGAGACCTCGAGGCTGAGGTTGGGTGGGGCGGCGCTGCTAACACCCTCAAGCTCCTGCTCGAGACTGAAGCCCGCAGTACCAGCGTCGGGAGACAGAGCACCCGGGGTGCCCGAGTTGATCTGCTCCTGCAGCTCGGAGATGAGATGCTCATCGGAGAGACGCTGCGCATCAAGCGTTGCGAGGCGAGCTCTCAACTGCATAGTGTCATCGTGAAGAGCCCGGCGCTGAGCATCCAACTCAACGTACTGCAGCTCGTAATCTCTGAGCTTTGAAGCGTACTGCTCGTTGGTCTGCTCCAAGGCCTGATTTCTCTTCAGAACCTTTTCATACTCAATGAGATCGCGCTGCATCTGCTCCTTTTCGTAGAGCAAATTGTCCATCTCTTTTGACAATGTAGACTGCGCCTCGAGCTTCTGCTTGTACCGCTCAACCATGTTGGCCTTGCGGGATAGTTCCTCATTCTTGAACCGTAGCTCCTTGACCTCATCGTCAAGCGTCTCAAGCTTCTGCGTCTTGGCTTTGAGTGCCGAAACTTCGCTCGTCAGCCGCTCCTTGGCTATGCGATCATCTTCAGCCTGCGCCTCCTGGTTGGCAATAAGCTCGTCCTGCTCGCGCAGCTTCAGCTCGAGCGACCTGATGACCTCCTTACCAGCACCGTCTTGGGCATCGTGGAACGCCTCAAGCTCCCTGCCCTTACGAACAACCTCCTCTTTCAGATCGTCGTAACTTTCCTGCAGGTGGCCCAAGCGCGTTTCCATATCCGCAAGCAACTTTCCCTTCTTGTCCAGGTCAGAGCGGAGGCGTATGTTGTCGGCTTCCATTGCGAGATCGACATCGTGGCTTTCGTTCCCAATCTCGGAGATTTCTTCTACGTCCGCCGCCTCGGCATCGTTGATAGCTGTACTCATGTCTTGCGTGACCCGCTGAAGCTGCATGAGGACCGTCTTGTCGGATATATCCTGGGTGATACGGGTGACCCATCGCTCGTTGTTGCTACCAAGCATTGCAACAGCAAATAGCACGGCAAGAAGCTGAGTAGAAGATTGCGTTAGCTTGGACTTGCGTTCTCGGCGCCGGAACAAGGGTAGCTGGGCTGGACACGGATAGTTGCATACCTTACTGATGGCCTCCGGCTGCGCTTCTCTCGCCCTGGGTCTGATGTCGGCAAGCTTGGTCTGCCCAATAAGCCCCGGACACTCGCGATATACTAGCCTCTGTATGCCCTTGTAGACATCGTATAGCTCGCCCTCGGTGGTATTGGAGTCGAAGGAGGGGTCGAGTGCTTGGAGGACCTTGGATAGCAGGTGTCCGTCGAGGAAATCTGATATTGAGTCTGCCTGTCCATCCAGGGGAAATGTGTTTGCCTGTGCAACGAGCATTAAGTCAGCATAATGTTGGAACGGCGTAAACGAAGCGGTCAGTGACAACACTGGGGAAAGGGAAGTGACCCATCGGAGGGGACACAAGGGGGAGAAGATGTATATGGAGGGGAGCGCAAAGCACGGCGACTTACCCATTGCACCAGCGCGGCCTGCGCGCTTCCTGAGTACGGCATGATGCCCGTTCTTTTCGTTTCGTAACCGTTCGTCGTCTTCGTGGTCGTCTTTCGTCGTAGTTTCGTAGATGTTTCTAGGCTAGTGAGGTATCTCTAGGTGAAGTACCTTATGGTTTGGAGCTGGAGCACGTGGGAAAAGGCGAAAGGGCTCCCGCGCGGTTCCACAACGTTTTGCGGTCGTGTTCGTGCTTGTTGCAAGTCAAAGCGGGCAGGGGAAATGTGGTTCCATGGGCCCGGGAAGCTCTCATCGCAAAGGGGGCTTTTCCGGCTAGGGGTGGAGGAAGCGGCGGTTGACGGGATATTAAAGGTTCAGGTCAGAGTAGGTGGAAAATAGCCTCGTCGGCCGAGGGGAGGGCGGTGTAAAGTGAAATGTAAGGAGAATAGAGGCCTTGTTTACGCACAGTCGTATGAGACAAGGGCAGCAGCAGCAGCAAAATTAAAAAGAGGCATGTGTCTCTTGTTCGCGGGTGCTTGGCTTGTCGTCCCAAAAAGCCAAAAAAGACAGGCGCATTGTTCACGTCTGGCGTCCGCTCCCTCCTGTCGAACCCACACTCAATCTTGCATGACCTGCATCAACCTAAGGTAAGCTCCCTGGGCCTCCTTATCGATTGTTAAAGGCAACTAGGCCCTAGGGAATTCTTAGCGCGTGTTGCGCAACTACCGCTCATACGTCAGCTTATCATCCAGAGGTACCTGAGCTTGCCTAGAGGTATTGATCCCTTTCTTGACCCGGCACGTTGGTGACAAACGCACAGCGAAAAGATACAATCCTCCTGTCCGTTTTTCTATTAAGGTACCTCCCGCCCCCAAGCCCGAAACTCCAAGTGACGCGAAGCGGGACGGACTGCCAGGGGTTGACCCGATGTTACAGTGGGGCAGTCCCTATGCCTTCGAGTCTTCGACAATCTTCAAGGCTTCCATTGGTGACAGCACCGTTGGGTCTTTCTTTGGCGGCAACGTGGGAGGGCTGATGGCTGAGAAGCCACCTTTCTTTCTTGCTTTTCCTTTTAGAATCAAGATTTTCGTTTGGTGGAAGGCTCCTTAAGACCAAGTGCACAAAGCCAGGGTGAAGAACAATATCATTGTTTGCACATGGTCACCGAGAACCTCGGATTCTTGTTCAAAGTCAACATCAGTCGAAAAGTGCTTTTCTTGTCAAACACGGCCGAACATTGTTCAAACTGCACTATTTTTGTAGCCATAAGCACAGACTCCAAGTCATCTTCTCGGATGGTCCTGGGTCATTACTCGACAATCAACCACCCTCCTGATCGTGATTCTGATTCCTCCCTTCTTGGCCGGCAGAGCCTACAATACGGATACGGTTACCGAAATCATGGACGACATTGCCATCCCATCGATACGGCATGGACTTCTCCACGAAAGCTTGACGAGGTCGGTCATCCATCGTAGGGTTGCAACCGGTTCGCCTTGGACCCTTCTCCACGGTTCCGTGCCGAACTAAAGAGCACCATTATACCTACGGATATGCCCAAGATATGCAGGCACGCAGACTGAAAGATTCCCTCTTCAGCCCCCCCTTCAGGTCTCTCATCGGTTAGTGACAGACTGACTGCATCATCTTCAGAGCCTGGTGGCTTTCCCAAAGTCTCCCCCCACATTGCGCTTTGACACGTCTGTGAGTGTGAGATTGCCAGGCGCTTTTTCTGCCCAACCCAATTGGAGCATTACGCGAGGTATCAGAAACACCGGGCTTTCATCCCGTGAGGAGACCGCCGACTTGTCGTGCAATAGGAGGTGCTGCTGCAGCATGCTGCGTCACTGCAATCAAGCACATGCAGTATCTCAACATTCTGGACGAGGCCTCGAGATATCAAGTAATCTTGTGCCCCTCAGCGACAGATTATATCCCTAGCATAAAGCTGAATCAGCATCCTTGGCCGGCAGTGGGGAGGCTAGAAGACGCAGAAATCCGCTTTTGATCTGCACATCTGCTTTCCGTGCCGCACATGAATCCCCCACTCATCAGGTACATCACCTTAGGGATTGGTCCTCGAAGGTCGAAAGGGTTCACGCAAGGCTTAGGTCTCTCATCAACGTCGTTGTGTGGATGTCAGCCGCATGCGGAACCTGGGATACATCATCGTAGAACGCCACGACGTCAGCACTGTACAAAATAAAGCGGCCGTCAGTTGAGAAGGATTCCCGTACACGTGGCGGAATAATCGAGGCAAAGACCAAAGTCATGAGTAGGTATGCTGTGATTATGATTTTCGGTCTTGTTTTTAAGGCGTCGAGCAGGATTGAACCAGGTGCGGCCCAAGCCTCGCTGTAGCCATACAGAAAAAGATGCCCCCGAGGCACTTCTCATCGATGAAAACTCCCGACTCCGTAGTGATAAATCGTCTATGACGGCAATGGTAATTATGAGTGCCCCCTCGCTTGCCCCTGTCGCAGCCGCCGGGAAAGGCGGCGGATATCATTGTCCTCGTGACCTAGTCCAGCCAAAGTCCCTTTTCGCACATTGTTGTATCTTTCACCAGATGCATGCTTTGCAAATTGCCTGTCGCCAGTTGTGCCCGATCGATGAACAACTTGGTTCGATAATGAGGCTACCATCTATACGGAGTTGGTGACGGTGTGGTCCTCTTCGATTGTGAGGCTTTCGCTAAAGGCTTGAACCGATTCAAGGACCTTAGCAGGTGTGACGGCGGCAAATCCCCTGATCGCTGTTAGCTGCGATTTAAAAACCTCAAACCGATGGAAGAGTAATGCCTCACCTAATCATAGAGTAGGTATGGGTGATCTGACCGCCGGCATCGATGATGGATTGCTTCGCCCTCTGAATGATGTCGTCACCGACGGAATCGGTTTTGGCCCAGACGATGACGGACTTCATCTGGTCGACGGCGAGAGCACCGGGGACGACAGCCAGAGCGGCGACGAGGAAGGTGGAGGGTCTCATGGTTGCGGAGATTGATGAGGTCGTCGAAAAGGGGTGGAACGAAGTTCTTTGCGATCGCGGATGTTGATGCGGGTCGGTATCGAGAGTCTGACTTTGCGGCGATTGATCAAAGTCGAGGATGAGGGTAATGCCAGTGTTGTAGGGTAGGTAGTATGCTTGACGAATGCGCTCAAGGGTCTTGTGGGGAGTTTGCGGTTATTTAATCGTTGCTTGCGAGTTACTGGAGAAAGTTGCTGGAGACTCGCGGATTGGTGAAGGACGGGTGGATGCAGAGAGGAAGTTCAGCAAGTTAGACGTGGACGGACTGAACTGGGCCTTGATGGATATCGAATGGATGTTTGGGTTCCCCTTTGTCATGGCAGGGTGACTGACCAGTGACCGCTGAATGGATGGGGACACAGCACGGAAGGCATCTGGGATGGGCAATCACCAGCCGAACCTTAGTTGACCACCTGCCCAGTAGGGAGCGCCGTCAGCCGTGGTGGCCCCCCTTGGAAGTAGTGGAGGTGTTCCATTGCTGTTTGTCACTCTTTTCCGTCCAGTTTGCCAGGTTCCAGCCAGTAACATACGTCAGTCGTCTGCGTCTAGAATGGTGTGGGAACCGGCAATAATGGGACAACCTGGTGGCGCTAGCAAGCAGTATGGACATGTGCAACCTCTTTTTTCTTTCGCCAGCATTTTCGTCAGATTCCTGGGTCTCGGTACAAGACAGGAAACTATCCGTACGTTCAGCGTGCAGCACACCAACTGTGTGCAGTGGCAAGGGTCTTGGCGCGGATTCAAACTGGTGACATGCAACAAAAGTCCCACTTTGCTGTTTCCTCCGCCTCCGGTCACGGGTGCTCTCCGTCGTCCCGCCAGGACTCGGCCTTCCCTGTGAGGAAGGTCACCAGTGGAAATATAGCGACATGGACCAATCTCGGGCTCCGATACTCCGTATACCTTCACCAACTTCACCTGTCCCAACGTGCCACCTTGTACATAGTAGCATTGTGTAATGTTGTGTAGAACGTCTAGCTGTAACCACCACATTCGATGGCGCAATCGACCGCTTTGTGCACCCGCATCTCCCGCTGCAGACTCGGAGCAATTTAGCGATCGGTGACAGCGATGGGCAAGCCATTGTACCGTCGCACCTCACCAGCCGACTCATGTGTACGACTTCATCCGGCTCCTCCGACGATGGAGCTCAATGTTCCAGTGTGATCTTCAGCTTGTCGTTCTTTGCTGGTATAGACTGTGTGGACCTCGTTGATCGCCTCACAAAGCCTGAACAGGAACGTTGAGCTGGCTTAGAGATATCAATTAATACTATAAGCATCCAGTGCCAATCTATCAACCTGACGTTGGTGGGGTGCTGCCGCTCAATGCATGTGATCCTCAACGCCAGCCCATAATAACCAAACAACGAAACTCCTTCCCGAGCATGCAAAGAATCAACGATGTCGTAATACAGTGGCCCTGGATGATGCTTCAGGTAATAGGGCAAACAAAACACAAAAAGATCACAGGATTGCCTCTACCCCTTCGCACTGCCCATCGCGCTGTCATTCTCGCCCCAGATATCCTTAGTCTCCTGCTCAACAGCCCGCATCGCAACAGCAACGTGTTCAAGTTTGGCAACGACGTCGAGAACACCTTTGTTGACCCGTTGGAAGTACCGATCGTTGGCCTCGCGCCTCTTGCGTGCGAGCAAGATGTCCACCTCTGTCTCCTGCTCGAGTTTCGCACCGAGTCGCTCCGTACCCCCGCTGCTACCTGGTCGCCCATTGTTGCTTCCCGTGCTCCGCGGTCCTTCGTTGCCATCTGACGCCACGCCGCTCGTCTCTCCTAGCACTGCGCTCTTGAGGTTGCGGACCTCCTCGCCTCCGGCTGCTGACGTGTTGGAGCGCTGGCCCGTCATCTCAATGGCCTCATCGGCTTCACTTCGTGCCCATGCCTGTGCCAGGTCGATCTGTGCTGTCCTCAGCTCCTCCAGCTTGCGATCGTGATCGGGTCCAAACACGTGAGTTCCACCTGACGCCGAGAGCTCGACCTCCTCGAGCGTCGCCTGCATCTCGGCCCATAACGCGTC